ATAATTATTAATAATATGGAAATAATCTCAATGACGTACGATGATTTTCATACAAAATTTTGCTTCTCACATTACATGTTGCAAATTAAACAGCGCATTTGAACTATTAATAATAAACTTTAAAGTTTAAAGAAATTTATAAATTAATCTAACAAATACATCTTGTGGCTGATGGTGGAAATTTTACATTTTTAATTGAATAAGTTATTTATATATGAATAATAACGATTAAAACTTGGAATAATCACAATTTGGGTGGTAAGTCTGATTTTCCTATTTCAAGGTAATTCAAAGTGATGGGTTAATCCAGCAACAGTCATATTTCAATCCTCGGGTTAAGAATAAAAGACAATAAGGTAGTAATGGAGACAAAAAATACATCAAAATCTTGACGTTGGCTAATCTGCCCTTAACCCCATCTAGAGAATTGCAATGGCATACCGTAGCCTATGAAAGAACCCTCGCAAAAAATTGACAAAAGCGGTCAATCGGCTAAGGAACAAAACATTTTACTAAGTAGGCATTTTTCATCCCTTAAACATTGTTTGTCACCGGAAATTACGAAAGCGCCTAATCAAATCGACGATAAAACTAACGAGCCGATCTCTTTTATTTGCATGTGCAGGAGCTGGTCTATCGGGATGGGAATCTTGTATCGGGCTCGCTGGACGCCCTGGTGCAGCACATGGTGCCAACGGAGGAGTACTACCCGGATCGGGCCTACCTCTTCGCCTTTCTCCTAAGCGCTCGCCTCTTCATCAAGCCCCACGAACTCCTCGGCGAGGTCTGTGCGCTCTGCGAGCATCAGCAGAATCTCAACGGCGAGGGCGGCAAGGTGAGTCCGGGGGGCTCGATTGTATCGACCCAGCCTCATTCAGCCCCATCCACATCTCACTATGCCTCACCTCACCTGCATCTTGCCTCGATCTAATAATTTACTCTTACAATATAATCGAGCTCGGAATTGCGGAGATTGACGCCCGAGATCACGCATGGTATTCCGACAATTTGCCGGATTTCTTGCATTAGGATATTATTCAACTATCGAGCATTTGTCAATGGAAGAGGATGGGTGCATTGTTGCACGATGGATCGATTAACGGCAAAATCATACCAACCAATATGTACTTGTGGCGCGTGTATTAGGAAAAAAAATGCAAGAAACCACGGGGAGAAAAGGCAAATCTTTGGTCGTATTGATTGAACATTTATTCGCATTAAAAGTATAATACCGTGACGATTTCTTTTCTGCTCTTATCCATTTCATTTCAACATTAAGATGATTATTACAATGGCATCCGTGTAATAATAATGAACTTAATAATAATAATATGTTATGACTGAATATGTTATGTTTGCCAGTTCCATGCATGCATAGATAGAAAACATGATTAAATATTATGAAATATGTAATAATATATAGTCGTAATACTTAATTAACGTTGGGAAAGTTTTTTTTTTTCTTCTTTTCAATAGTTTAGAAAGATTGTTTGCTTTCCATTATATTGATAGCTGGATATTGAAATGATTGAAATTAAAGATATTAAAACTTTTGAGAAACATAACATAAAGCTACACGCGCTATACTGCTTGTGTATATAATTGGATTAAATGGAAACTTTTTTAAACAAAAGTACGTATAAATGGAAGAAAAACTCTCGCTATACTATAAGCTTTCAAGTAAAGTAGACGTAGTAGCAAAGTAATTTAGAATGGATAAGAATGACAATAAATCAAGTGAAGTACGTTCGTTAAGATAAAATATAACTGAAATTGACGATATTTATAATTGGAAATATTTTACTATTACAACAATACAAAAATGATTTTAATTAATTTAAAAAAATTAATGACATTATATCGATCGTTAAAGACTTTTATTTTTGCTTGTTTGTTAAATGTTGAATGTTGAATGTTGAATGTTGAATGTTGAATGTTGTTGTTGTTGTTGTTGTTGTTGTTGTTGTTGTTGTTGTTGTCGTTTGTTAACTAAATTATTAACTAAAATTTGCAGAAATACAAAGAATACGAATTGTTTCGATCTCGAAGTGAACAACAACAACAAACACGACAATAATAATATTAAATTGAAAAAATGATGAAAATGAATGGGCAGATAATTAATAATCAGTCCGGATGAATGATTAATAAAAGACTTTAGAAAAGATTTGTAATCCATTCGGTAATAAAAGTTCCCCTGACAACGTTATTCGCAATATTCACACTGTCTTGCTAGAGTGATAGCTCGATGCTTTTGGCGATGTGCCAAGTGGAAAAGACAGTTAGTTGGAAAGTTACATACCTGATCACCACTTACGACAAACTTTCAAGAAGTTATTAAACTGATTTATGAAAAGTTGAAAGTAGATGAATTACTGGAACAATATTTAGGCGGTATTAGTTGGGACAACAGTAGAAGATTTTATAACTTTGATGATACTTTCCCACAAGGATCTAAATTATTCAAATTTCTATTTACTCAATTGGTCGTGTATATTTGTAATAAAAATCGTCCAGTTTCCTATATAATGAGCGCACGATTAATCCAGATTTTTGATAAATTGGATAGAAGACTCGTGCCTTATTACATGCATTACACATTAAAAAATTTATTTCTATAAGAATTCATCGACTTGAGAAATTTTCAGCCTATTTATTTAATTACAAATATATATATATATATATATATATATATATATATAATTGCATTATGTAGAAATTATTTTACATTGTTAGATGATGGAAATTTATTTTAATTTTCGGATAATTACAGCAACAAATGTAATTATAATTATGAAATAAAGCTTAGTGAATATTTTATGAATATAAATTATTGTTTTCAATACAAACAAAATAAAATTTTCTTTTCCTTTCTTCCATTGTTTATCTTATCTTTAAATATCTTTCTGCGTTTAAAATATGGATCTAACGATGCTTGCTTAATTTATTACGACAAAAACAACAACAACAAAAAACAAAAAAAAACAAAAAAAAAAAAAAAAAAAGAAAAAGAAACATAGCAAAAAAATGTAACTTTAAAATATATTTAAAATATACGAAGGAAGTATTTTCTTATTCTAGTGTTGATGAAACTAATTTTCGATAATTTCGTTATTTCATACGACAAGATACCTAGGTATACTATCTCACACTTTTATTCCAAATAATAATATTATGTATTTTTTTTATTTTGTTATCTTTTTATTTAAAATGGCAATCACCGTGTATGGCACTTGAAATTCTACTCCAATGAAAAGAGACACGTAGGTGAAACTTGAGCAACGAATCTATTGCACGATTTTAAAAGATTATAGATAAGGCATCACTTTTAACAAATAAAGACGCGCAAGTTCATCAACTTTGCAATTAAATATACGCATTGAATAATAATTTTATATGCTAAGGATATGATGCCTGTATTCAAAATGTCCCAAAACTCGAAGATTATACCAAAAATTTCGTCCAAAAATTCTATCCAACATTCAACCCAAATCCGCGCTTCCCGACGACCTACCACCAGCTAAATCCTTCGATTCGCTTCTCCTCGAAAAAAAAAAAAAAAAAAAAAAAAAAAAAAAAAAAAAACGTCACCTGCATTCATGAGATCTTCGTATCACCATCCACGTCCATGGCCATGTAAGCCATGCGACGCTATCGCGTAGTAAAAATACGCCATTCAAAGTCTTTGCTGCTTCTCCTCAACATTTCCGATAGAAGAAATAAAAGTGCAGCTGAATCGCTCCCCTAAGGCTCTGTATTATCGTTATCGTTTCTTCCTATCGACCTATCCCTTCATTTCCTCATTCTCTCTCCTCGTCCGCATAACTATTTATACTTTTTCGCACGCGCCTATACTCGCCTACGTACGCTTTTTTCAAACACACTTCGATCCACTGCATTCGTTCCATTCAAAAGGGCTTTTGAGGATCAGCCACGTAAGGTGTAAATCAATCGCACATCGAATTCACAATTCTCTCTTGCGTCCTGCCCCCTTGTGTATGCTCGTTCGCGCCCATCCTATTTCCGACCATCGACTGACCTCGGAATTCTGAAATGTCTCTCTCTCTCTCTCTCTCTCTCTCTCTCTCTCTCTCTCTATATATATATATATATATATCTTTTCACTAAAATTTCAGCTAGTTATCGATTCGCTTGCATTACTCTATCTCTCGCAGTCATTAGCGTTTTTCTCAGCTGGAGATATCGTCCAAGTCGCCACTCGTTTATAATGTTGTTGCTTTCGATTTTCCCGCGATATATTGTCGAGCTTCTCTGTATTATCGCCGAAAGCTCCAAAGATAAATCAAACAATATGTTCTAGAAGCCAGTGATTCCAAAGGCCATGACTTGGAGTAATCTTGCTCTTCGAGAACAAAGCCTCTTGGTGCGCGCAAAACATTCTTCTGACTGCGGATTTCAACGCAAGATGCGTCTTGTTGAAGATTGGCGCGAGCAAATACTCGTACGTAAAGCCACGAGACTTAAACTTATGTTGTAATGGGATGTAGCCTGAGCGCGCGTATGGTATTTACGCGTAGAAAAATATATGACGTGCAAGTGCAACTGTTCATTTGCATAAATTAGCATTGGAAATAATGTATGTGTGCGCGGACGTCAAGCTTAGCGGTAAACTCAAGCGTCGGAATTCTATTTTGAACGAACGTTCGATGGATGCTCGATTAAAATATTCTCTCTTTGATCTTATCGTGCCTTCTTTTTCTACATCTATCAATCTACCTCTGTGTTTAAACATCTCTTTCACCTATCTAATCTCGATTTTCCTTTTCATTTTGCTCTATTTTGCCGCCTATGTTACTTTATTCAACATATTAAATTATTCCGTGATTCACATATTATATTTATTTAGTGTATATTATCTTTATATCTACTGTGTTATCGATCAAACGGTAGTAGCCTGATCGAGTAACGAGATCATCTCCATTGTTAATAAAATTGTAGAAATATTTTAACAATATTTATGAACCATATACTATTTGAATATATTGCGATAACTTTCACATACTGTATTATTCAATTAAACTTCAGACTAATGCAAGCTTACCAACTGAAAACTAATTAAATTTGAAATTAACAATTTATAGTTGAAAATTTATACGATTTTGATCAATGTTATACGAAAATTATTCTCTTCGTTAACTCGTTATTTTTAATATTTAAAATTTATTTATCATTGTTATTATTCGATAGATTTCTTCAATTTATCAGCATTTGATTAATAATTCGCGTACGTAGATGCTGCGGCGCAAACTGTAAGTGGCAGACATGTAACTTTTACGAGAAATTATAATTAATTATATTAATAATTTATTATGTATGTGAAATTTAATTTCGAACCAAAATTTTATTGCCTCATAACTATGATTATTAACATTTAATGTGAATTGTCGGATAAATTAAAAAAAAAAGAAGCTATTCGTACATTTAGCACACTAATATCATTCAATTTTATATATAATTTTAGGTAAAAATGATTTTTATATCACCGATAGATATTGATTGATAAATGTTCCATGGGTCTCCTTATAATTCATTACTGATTAACATTACATTAATAACTCACAAGTACATTTGTTATTGTCACTTAAAAATGTATCTATGACAGAGACTCCATACTTATATTGCTACAATACTTTTATTCTATACATTATTGATGTCTAGTTGATGGATTAAATTCCATAATGGCTTTGCTTCTTTATAAAAAGCTTTATAAAGCTTGCGTTGGCGAGCCGAATTATTTTGCTTTTATTTGACTCGGTCTTCGAAAATATTCTACGATATATAATAATTAATTCTATTGCATTAAGTTTTATAACATACATTCATCCTTACATCCATTGTGCCATAACTCGCACTAACAATATTACAACATTTTGTCTGCGGGTAAAGCATGACTTTTGAAAAAAAAAAAAAAAAAAAAAAAAAAAAAAAAAAAAAAAAAACATTAGCTGCAAAGTGTACTGTAGTAAATTGAGTTCAATAAACTACATAAAGAATATGAAATGTAAATCAGGACATTTTTGATATCTTGAAAAAGCTAAATATTGATGTTCGTAAGTTCGATACGCGTATGATAGATGTTTCATAAAAATATGAATTTATTTTTGAACAATTGAGTTGAATTGCCAATGTTAATATACTAGAGAAATTATGGAAAATCGACCACTATATTTTCATAAAATGTACAAAAATTTCGTATTTTCGAAAAACGAAGATTGAATACAATATATTTGCAAAATATTAAGATTAAAGAAAATTCGCTCGTTTTATAAATGTTCCAAGCGCCTTATTTCAATAATACTACCATCCGCCTTTTTATTACCTAACGACTCATAGGCCCATAATGCAAAATATGGCAGACCACCAAAGTGTATTATCACTTTTGGATATAACTGGAATCCCCGTCGGGAATAATTGGAATGGACAGGCTCCGTAAACAAAGCGAGACGAGGTAGAGGGCAGAGAGTTCCGAGTGAGCTTATAATTTGACGTTACTCCAGATATTGGCGGCTGCTGCGTTTTGTCCGGGTCGTCAGCCGCGAATCCATGCCCCCGAGTAATCCTAATAACTTGTCTTCAACAGGAGCGACTGCATCGCTTTGTTCCACGGCTGGTGCAGCTGCTGGCCGAGTGGACGGAGACCTTCCCTTACGACTTTAGAGACGAGCGGGTGATGGGACACGTCAGGTCCATAACGCAAAAGGTCGCGAACGTCGACGCGGCCGCGAGACAGGAGGTCTCGGTTCTACTCCAAAATCTTCTTCTTAAGCTCACGGCACTCGAGAGATACGAGGAGGCACTGGCCAGATTGGCCACTGAGGCCTCCACCGAGCAACTTACCCAGGTATGTAATTTCTTTTCATTTCTTGTCTTGGTGTACGTACGGCTCCTTCCCGAGCGTCAATGCCATTACGGACTTTCTTGTCATTCCCATCGTACTCTACTGCGAAAATCCAAATATCTTCTTTCATCAATAATATGCAGCAAATTACTTTCATTACGCGTGCATTCACACTTTTGAATTTTAAAAATCAAACGAGATCTGTAAAGGAAAACTTTTATTTGGGCAACAATCGTTTGAAAATAATTGACGAGTAAATGTTAATATACGTAATCTTTAATTTAGAGAAGTTTTACGTTATAATTGATATTAAAATTAATATATAATTCAAAATATAATTGCATTACATTGAGCTTGTAAATTAACGGTAAGATAATTATGTTGACGTTTATAAATAAAAAAGATAAGACTGAAAAGTCGTGAAAAACAATATTTGAAATTATTAGATTAAAAGTAATGGATCGAACGGAGTAGTTAAGTATATAAATATCTTTTTCATGTGGTGATTATTTCTAGAAAAGAAACGAGCCAAGCTAAATCGTGATCGAAAAATTGGAATTCATGACTGGCATGACTTTGCGATAAATAAAAAATGCGAATTCTCATTGAGGAGAATCGTTTAGACAGGTCCATTATAAATTTCAATTTATTTTCGTTGGCGCTAATCTTTTATTGCTTATAAAGTTAAAAGATGTATGAACTTTACGCGTTGATCGATTCGAAAATCAATAATCAATTTATCGATTGACATTTAATGTTTCCTCTCCTACACTAAGAGTATAAACTCTTAGTTAGAATAGGAAATTGACTAACTATACTCCGAGTTCATTAGCATGGAGAAAAAATGTTTCTCCGTTCACATAAATTCGTCCATACAAATCTTCTCATATTAATGGAAAAAAAAAAAAGAAAAAAAAAAAGAATCTATCCTAATCATGTAACAATGACGATTAATTTTTAATAAAATTATAGTAAACGTTTTTAAATGAAGTTTAAACGGGGGGATTAGTGAAATTAGTATATATTGCCTTAATTACCACTCGCAATGCTCATTATATTACCAAATTTTAAAAGCTTTGATCTGCCGTAAGAAATTAATACTACATTTTTATAAAAAATTGCAAATATTGCAGAGTATCGCATAGTAATCGATAAACAATTAAAATCTATTATCTTATATTATAAATACAGGGATGACATCAAATCGTTTAAATTAAACTTTTTATTAAATAATACGAAAAATACGAAAAATACGAAAAATTAATATTTTAATAATAATTAATTTAAACTCCATTTGCATAAAATGCGATTTAGAGTAAAATCCATAACGCAATGTGCATAAGGAAATTAACTAAAATTCAATTAAAATTATATTCCAATTAAACGACAATAATAATATGATCGTTAAATTTACGTAAATATTCATATTTAATGATAGATTAAACGATATAAAGGACAGATGTAATAATTTGTATTTATCAATGTTTTCAAAAGAATTCGATAAAAATTTTATTAGCATTGTTGGTAGAATTCTTGGAATAGACGATGTGCTAACGAATGGACAATTCGCATACAGATTCGCTTGCTTTTGTAAGAGAACGATGAAAATCTAACGCACCTAGCGATCGGATGTGGCAAGAATCTTTGTTGAAAATTTCTCTAAGAGAATTTAGAAATGTCATAATACAGCCATAATGAAACATTGTGCGATACAGTATAGTTGAAAGCACGCAGTTGGCATTGAGCATCGAAAATGTGAAATCTACGAATCCGTTCTTCTAATCCAATCTTAAGTGGTGACAGCTGAATGTCCCCAACACGCGTTATAAGCCGTGAGTACGCCAAGTGCTTATAAATTTTCTGCAATGTCGCAATTTCATTGACTGTTGGAAATCATGCATAGACGTGACATACGAATGACCTAGAAGTACATTTACTTGTAAAGTAGAAAATCTATATTTTCTTTTCGCCATCTATTTAAAAAGGTTGGCACTAAAATATTGCAACATTTTTAGAGATAAAGAATAAATTAAGAACGCGCGTGGGAATGTTTGATTAATTTTAAATAACAGTAAGCTTGTTTTTGTTCGGTAACTGGAAAATGATAATAATGTATTTAGTATACTTTTTAATTAACAAACTTTCTGCTTGATGATTAACCAACCCAACTTTTCATGCCCATAATACATTCTAAGTACTGGATATTAAAAGTACTCATAAATTGTGCTACGTACACACTGACATGAAAAAGGTAAATATAGAGTAACCTTTTACTTTATGAATGTATAAAATTAAATGTTGATAGAGTAATAAAAGGATATATATATATATATATATATATATATATATATACAAAAATATAAATGCATAAAGTAAGTATTGCGTTAACTAATAAAAATATCATAAAGTTCGCTTAATTCACTCAACAAGTATATAAACTTGCAAGTAAAGAGGAATAACTAGAGACTTTAAATAAAATTCAAATATCATGATCAAGTATTTTTCATTGGTAACATTCAAAAATATTATATGACAGTGTTATATCATTCAATTTTCATATTTTGATATTTTATATTATAAGATACATTAATGGTAAATTCATAAATTAAAAAAAAAAAAAATAAAATAAAAAATAAAATAAAAACAATAACTAAAGCAGGATTGGCGACTTGACAGAATTATGGAGATGTATAAATTTACGAATAAATTTTTCAAATTATAGTTAAGAAGCAATTTAAAAGTTTTAAAAAAAATTTTTATTTATACGGAATAAAAGTGAAAATTTTATCTGCAATGTAGATCCATAATAATATGATAAAATGATAAAATGATAAAAGTACGTCTGTACTATAAATATTTTATCTTTGATCCTCCCTATTTATCCTACACCATATTTATGCACAAAATTTAAGAAATAATATACTCTATAATGTTAAAGTAGGTAATTTATCTACAAAAAGATTAAAAAGTAATCTAAATACACGACAATTCACTTATTTAAAAATGAATTTTGTTTTTAATTCGACTTTATGTTTTATTTTATTTTATAAGTATTTTTTTTTTTTAATACTCAAATCATGTCGAAATAATTTTCTGACATCAAACATTTTACTACTAAATAAAATACGCAGTGTCGTAAGATTATGTCACATTGTCACTCGATCGATACATTAAATCCTCTTTAGCACGCACGAAAAATTGGCAAATATGAAAAACCGGCATCTACGATTTTTCCTTCCGCGAGCCAAAAAACACGCCCCATCCTAGACATTCTGTATTACCAATGTCTCGCGTAGTTTCGTGAAGACATCAGAACGTTCAAGAGGTAATGAGATAATTGGGGGCCTCGTGTCTACGTGTCTACGTGTCTACGTGTCTACGTGTCTACTTCTCGCGACCACGAGACATCGCAACATCGGACTCTATGGGGCTGATTTCATTAAATCCACGAGGCAGGATCGCTTCCACCTTTACAGCTGACTACATCCAGCCTCGTCAAGTCCTGCAACATCCTGCCCATGGCTAATTCCACTTGCGTCAGACGCTTAAATATGCCTCGGCTTATCAGCTTCGATTGGGAGCACCGACTGCTAGTGGATTTTCCAAGCGCGTTATGCGAAAATTATCCAGGCTCTAATCCCCGATCAACTTTGTGCGTTCGCGCTCATATAAGTTGTTATCGATATTTTCAACATGCAGATGAGGCAAACCTATTTCATGGTTATATTTTGCATGTGAGTGCGCATTTATGAGCCGCCGAGGATCTTGAATTTAACTAGAGCCATTGTCACGCTCGAAAACTGAGCTAAAAGTATTAATGGCCGCGATACGGTTAGTATAATGAAAAAATCGCTTATATTTTCGCCGAATCGATAGAAACATTATTATTATACGATTGATAATTTTATTACGAAAAATATGCATAATCGATAATTAATGAAATACATAGAATTAGCTGAATAATATAATATGCAATGAAATTAATGAGAAATTTACAAGTACTTGCACTTCAATATTTTCGCTAATATTATTATTTGGCAATGGTGTTATATACTATTTGAATATGGTGTCATATGATGTCAATTCTTAAGTATAAATATTGGCGAGCGCGTCGGATAATTTTTTACTTGTTAATGTAGCTGAAAAGTTTTGTTTTCATTAAGAATTTCATTATGGTACATTGTATTAATTTTTATCCAATAGATGTCCAATGCATGTAGAATTAATTGACTGGCCAGAAAAATTAGAAGAAAAACAAAAATAAAATGGACGAAATATTTTTTGGCCAAATTATAATTTTATAAAAGGAAACACTTGATTAAAGTCTTGTCTCTTGCCATTCTATTTCAATTAAAATAAACAAGACCAAATATCACTGTACGTATGAATATATTTAGTTTATTATTTTATTTAATTCGGAATTTAAATATGTCGTGCCTTCATTCGCACATGATTTTTCAAATGGACGAATAAACGAGGATCCGAGATATTAATAAGAATTAGCAATAACATGAATTAAAATATTTGAATAAATATTCAATAAGAATGATTACTAATTAAAATTAAAATATTATTATTGAAGTAAAAGACTTCTCTTCGCGATATATAAAAATATACGTAGATTGTTAGCTATTTCACATTGTAGATTGGTTGCCAGAGAAAATTGTAGATACAAAGAAATCGCAATTTTAACGAAGAATTGTTTTATTTTTCAAAATTTGCTATTCATAAATTTCCTCTACGCTGAATTTCCAATTTAACATTGCATTCGATACAATTTAATTTTATTAAATTTAATCCTACATAATCATGTAAAAAAAAAAATTCATATTAAGTCTATTATATCAAATTATTTAAAATTTTACTCTTCAGTTTAATAATATAGGATTTTTAATTTTAAAATAAATTTATCTAATTTGCTAATGTATACATATGTTACAGACACACACACATGCGCGCGCGCGCGCATATATACATGTTTATACAATATAAAATTTATAAAATTATTTAAAAATCTGAAGAATATGATAAAAGTATCACTTCAATAAAGATAATAACCATATGAGCTTCTCATAATAAACGAATTAGCTTTCTGAATCTACTTTACAATAATTATAAAATTAATTTATTTGTATGAGAAAATTTTTCGAAACTTCATTGCATAATTTATATTCAATTAGATTTCAACCAAAAAGATATAAAAAAAAAAAAAAAAAAAAAAAAAAAAAAAAAATAGTAAATCCAATTGTATTGGTCCATCGGTCAGCAGTGACCTTTAAAGTATACAAATAACAAAAATTCGTAGTTTATAATAGAACACTCGAAAAAAAAAATGTCTTTCAGTCTTTAAAATCAATATGCCCATTGTCGTAATTTACTTCCAGCAACAAATATTCAACTAAATATTTTATTTTGCTCTCTTTAAATCGCAAATTGTTATGCACCAATTTCAATAAAATGTTCTTATACGAAGGATAGACTTTTGGAGCTTTGATAAATTTTATTAAAAAAAAAAAAAATATGCGCACCAAGAAATTAATTTAATAATTCAAAACGAGTGAAATGCTATCCTATCAGCGTAATTGATTTTCTAATTGTTATATTTTATTTATTTATTTATTTATTTATTTCATTCTTTCATTCTTTTTTCTTCGTTCTTTGGATCTCGATTACGTAGTTATCAGCATTTACAAAAGTATTATATAGAAGGCGATGTATGCGCAGTTAGCCTCTACGTAGATTCACGAAACGTCCAAAAGACGTCCAAAATGTTGAAAACATATGGGGATAGTGAAAAGCTTCGGAGTGGAGGGTGAACAGATGCGCTGTTAAACGAAAGGTTCGGAGTCAACGCACCTGCACTCACGGGATTCGTCCTTACGTCTCTGTTTCAGGTGGATGTGACGGAACTTTGTCCCTTGGCTACGGTTCTGGCCCAACAACTGACACACGTTGAGCTCGAGCGGCTTTCCTATATCGGCCCCGAAGAGTTTGTCCAGGCATTTGCCAAGGTAGGGTTGAACGAAGCTTTTGTACCAGCGCTTCTTTGCCAATGAGTCGATTATGTTTTATATGACTTTATACGCCTATTGTTTACGTTCATTCCATTTACACACGCGCGTATTTATTTATTTTTTTTTTTTTTATTTTTTTGTTGATTACAAAACTTGCTGTGATAGTCTAAAAGCGAATTAACTAAAGAAATTTCACACTCGATTATCACAAATTTATTACACCTTACATTGTGTTACCTAAATATCGTATTATGCATGTATGTAAACTTTTTTTAAAATTTACAACTCTTAAGTAAGCATTTTAACAAGATGTTTCCCTTCCCTTTAAGGAATCACCGCATTTGGAGACATCGTTCAAGGATATGAAAAAAACACGCAATCTTGAATCCTACGTACAGTGGTTCAACAGACTCAGCTATTTCGTAGCGACCGAAGTTTGCAAGGTTAATTAATCACAAATTGCATATCACGATCCGTTTGTATTTTCGATTGATATTTACTTGACACGTTTGTATTTTTAGCACGCGAAGAAAAAGCAGCGCGTTCGAGTGGTCGAATACTGGATTGAAACAGCTCGAGAGTGCTTTAACATCGGTAACTTCAATTCACTCATGGCAATTATTGCTGGACTCAACATGTCTCCAATATCACGACTGAAGAAAACTGTAATAATTCATATTATTATTATTATTATTATTATTGCACGCATTTTAAAAGCACTTTGTACGCGGCGTTGAAATTAGCCTTTAATTATATATATAATTATTCCCAAGTACAAATTCATCAATACATGTATAGCATTAGCCATTAAAAAAAAACAGTCAATATTTTATCCACGATGAATGTAAAAAAAAAAAAAAAAAAAAAAAAAAAAAAAAAAAAAAAATAAAATAAAATAAAATAAAATAAAACCCATCACGCGCACTAGAAAGTTCTTCGACAATTCAATACACTCGCTTAACTTCCATACTCCAATAAACCTTTTTGGCACCCGAACACACACCAAACCCCAACCAATTCCTCTTCACGTCAAGTCTATCACCTAACAAAAGAGTAAAAATGATGGAGAAAAGCTAACTTAGCATCCCCCTTGAAATTTCAACGCCCCGTCGCTTTAATTACTCAAAGCAGCGCTCGCTCTAATCGACTTTGCCCTCCTCTCTCTCTTTCTCTCTCTCTCTCTCTCTCTCTCTCTCTCTCTCTCTCTCTCGCTCCCATGCCCAACCGCTCAACCGGAGCAGTGGTCGAAGGTGCAGTCAGCCAAGTTCTCGATCCTCGAGCACCAGATGGACCCGAGCAGCAACTTCAGCAGCTACCGCAGCACTCTGAAGGCGGCCATGTGGCGTAGCGCCGGCGCTACGGACGAGAGGCAACGCATCGTCGTACCCTTCTTCAGCCTCCTCGTCAAGGACCTGTATTTCCTCAACGAGGGCTGCAGTAACAAGTGAGTGAAAAATTGCACGAGCCGACCCTTGTCTTCTCGCCGGGATGGCACGAAGGGACTGGAAGCGACGTGCAATTTATTTGCCTACTCCTCCACCCCGGCTGCGACCCACCTTGCCCTCGTCAATATTTTCCGGATTTTCATTTTGCTGAGATTGCTCGCGTGACCCTATTAATCGAAAACGTATTACCACTATCCGAATAATAAATTGAAATCGAAATCGGTTTGTAATGGACTCGATAGCACTCGTTAACACTTTGAGCGCCTGCCGATGTATTACCGAGGAGCAATTGTCGAGCATTTTAATCGCGCAATAGTTGTTCTACTATTGCATTCTTATTGTAGCAATTAATAATGATCGAAGAGGACTTGAAGTTTAAGCTCTCGGAGGTAAATTAAATGCATTTAATATGGTATTTCTATTGGCAATTCTTAATAATTCGCTTCGTTTGGCACGAGCGTGGCAAATTCAGTTATTAAAATTACACATTTTAGAGCGCTTATAGAGGATAAATTTCTTAAAAGTTGTCGTATAGAACTAAATTCTTACTTTAACAGATTATTCAATTAAATTGTACTCTAAATGAAATTCAAATTAAGAAGTAAGTGCTCTGACGAGCTTGTCGGTAAATTAAAATTTTATAATTACGTGTCTCTCTATTTTGAATACTATTTAAACGTTACGAAGCTTGTATAATTTTCTTTTCATACAGAGTTCTTCGACCGTTGTGTAACTTAATATTTCTGTGATATAATGTTCTGATTAATTATTAAAAGTTTAATAGAGCCGTTTACTTCATTAAATAACGGCTTAGAAAGTACAAGCCTATTCATCGATCATAAACAGCATGAGAATTCGTATCGCCTAGCCCTTGTTAAGCAAAAAAACAAAACAAAACAAAACAAAACAAAACAAAACAAAACAAAAAAAAACCATTGCCATTTATAATCGGAAAATCGTTTATACTTTTCTACAAAGTCCCATTGTGCTTATGTAACCAATGATATAATAGAGTTACCGCAACGATTGGATAACAGTAAAAACGATTTCTACCAAGGGATGCGCAAGAGAATTAGCACATCGGCCAGGACACGTCAATTTTCAGATGCGCGCACTCACCGAGCCGCTTTACTTAAAACTTATTAAACTTGTAATGATAAAAGTTGGAAAGAAATCACTCCCTCCATTTTGGATTAGTCGCCACCGCGACAGTTGAGAAATAAGATACTAAGTCGCGTAGCGCTATGCGCGCGCGTTCAATTACGAGTAGGAAATGTGGGTAGAACGAGTAGCGCCTACATCCATACGATATTATGGATATTATGAATTCTATTTTTTAGGAGGAAGCTGCTAGTAAAAAACCTTATCAATTATAGTTGTAAAGTAATTCTTATGTTTCCTCTTTGTATTTTGAATACGTGATAGGACAATCGGTTCATTCGATTTCGATTTAAACCTTTGTTTTTTTATAATTCCTCCTCGTCGTTTCAATAAAATTATAGTATACAATGAAAAGATTTATAAATAAACTAAATTACGACAGTATTATTGCAAGATTTAAATTGGAGGAGAACAAAACGATAAAAACTAAAACAAAAGAAATGAAAACCTAAAATAAATTACGTATGAAAATTTACTTTAATGAAATTGTCGCTGAATGTAATAGCGATTTCAGATTTCAATTAGTAATTTCATTGCATTCACAGATTGCAGTATCAAACGTAAAGATCATGATGAAATGTATTTGATTTTAGATTGCCCAATGGACACATAAACTTTGAGAAATTCTGGCAGTTGGCCAAACAAGTGACGGAGTTCATAGCTTGGAAACAAGTGGCTTGTCCTTTTGAAAAGAATCCGAGGGTTATAGCTTTCCTTCAAGCCAGTCCTGTACTTACTGAGAATGGTACGTGTCAATTTCATTTTTTCGATTTACGCACTTAACCCTTTGCGCAAAATGGCCCTAAATATGCAATAAATTAATGAAAAACATTTAACGCGCTTAACACGCTGCAATATAATAAATTAAGGCTCTTAATGTATTTATGAGCAGTAAAGTTTAATTTGACAAGCTTAAAATACAATGTTCTAAAGTATTTTATAATGATAACTATAAATTGCCTTCAATGTTGTCAAAATTAATATTCCACAAAAGATTAAATTAATTCTTATGAACAACAAAATTGCTTAAATTTATTATAATTATGTATATATTTATACAGTGAATAATTTTTATGTATTTTTAGCTTTCGTTTCTAATTCGGAAAATTTTGCTTTTTCTTGCACACGACTTTAATTAAGCAAATACACATAACGTTCGATGTACCTCTCTTTATACAAGCAATCCAAAAAAAAAAAAAAATAAAAAAAATTCATACATAAATATGATCATATTTATTTATAAAGCATACTTATAAAAACATTAAATATCTGAAATATTATTTTAATAAAATATTATTTTATATGAAAAAGGTATTTGCCTTAATGAGATAATTTATGTTTAAAAAAATGTAATTTATAATATTATTGTGAAAAGTATGCTTGAAAATAGTAGAATTGTAATTAAACATTTGAATCTGAAATTAATCTCATGATAATTAATGTTAAATGTAAGCCATAATTTTGTCAATTTTACGAAATTGAAAACAGTTTATCACTTTAAAGAAATAACTTATTATATTAAAGGTATTTTTATTTAAATACCATTGGTTGTCAACGACCTAATGAACATGGCTTTGACAAAATGCTTTTTATACTCTCTCGATGGCCGACATAAATTTAAACGCTTTAAAGCTTTCCAACATTTTCACACATATTTCAAGTGGCAACCTTAAATTTATTATCCTGCTATTATTGAATCCACCAATTATATAAAATTGTGGTATTTAGAAAAAAAAAAATGATTTCTTTCAATTTCAATATGCAAGATTAATCGATAAAGTTTTTTTTTTTTTTTTTTTTTTTTTTTTTTTTTTTTTTTTTTTTTTTTTTTTAATTACCCGACCTAATCGTCGATTAAGGATTCGAATTTCCATATTTGTACGAATGTCTCGGCTATCTTAATAACAAATTATTTTACATAATAACTTTTTAATTCTACATCACAGCTTTGGCGCTGGCTTCCTTCGAATGCGAGCCACCGGACAACAACCACGAGAAGGATAGATACAAAGCGTTAAAGTGAGTGAAAATGATGTATTGGTAATAATTTTCTATATTTGCGATAGATAGAATAAAATTTTGCTCATTGATTCTAACAAATAGTATCGACTTTTTACGAAATTTATACAATTACGTCATTTTATCTTGCAATGTAGGATGTTCTTTGTATTAAAAAAAAAAAAAAGAAAAGTTAATTATAAAAATTATGTAAATAACTTAACGCAAAATAAGCTATAAAGAAGACTCGTACGAAACATTCTGAACATTGAGTATAAACGATGAAATTCATCCTAAAAAATAATCTTTCGTTCATCCGGCAGATCGGAGCTAACAAGCCAGTGAAAACGCGCCACTTCAACCAACGAAGATCACTGGGAAAGATACTGAAAAAAGTAAAGCAATAGAGTAAAAAAAAAAAAAAATAGCAACAAAGACAGAAAAAAAGAAGCTTACGTGGATCGCCGACAGAGCGTCTGCTTATACAGCCGGCAATCGACAACGTCAAGGGTATATCATGAATAATATTTAACGCAAGCGAATCGAAAGCTAAGAGGCTGCGAGAAGATAAAATCTCGCGTCGGAGCGATAGCAAACGTTTAGCGCGATGAGAGCGAGCAAAATGGAAAAAACGGACTTTGTGCATGAATTTTTGGTTTACTTGAACGTATGAATATTTAAAATTTTCCAATTATTTATTTATTTATTTGTTTGTTTAATTGTTTGTTTGTTTATTTGTTTGTTTGTTTATTTGTTTGTTTGTTTGTTTGTTTGTTTCTTCGTTTCTTTGTTTCTTTGTTTCTTTGTTTGTTTGTATTTAATGATGGTAGGTGTTCTTGTCGAAAGGTTTTACTAAATTTCCATAAAAATACTTCTCTTTCGTCATAATATTCTCCGTTATTTAATTATTTTTCGTATACATTACGTTATATATGCGCGTTTGGATTTATGCAATGCAATGATTTTCATTAATTATGTATATTAATTTAATATTAATATAATTGAATATCTTTAATTTATTATGAATTATAAAAGACTGCTAAGATCACTAATTCATTTTGTCAAATTCAATATAATTAATGAATTGTTAATTTACAATTTATGAATTTCTTAAATTATTTACATATATTATTAAAATTATATTTGAAATATAATTAAGCTGCGTTTAAAATGTATATGCTAGCGAAATTTTATAGAGCCTGTAAAAATAATATTACATATTAGTTAATAAATTTTTCACTTATAATTTATATTCTTGCCAATTTTTATGATAAATGAAGCCATTATTATTTGAAGCAATTAGTTGGCGATAAAATTTGAGCGCACCAAATATCTCGAGTATTTTTCTTAAATGTTCATGATAATTTAAATGATTAAAACAAAATCGTCCTAGTAAAATCCTAATAAAACGCGAGGTTGAATAATACGCTCGATTATCCGAAAGTTCATGCAACAAGCCTCATACGAACGAGCAATAAAGACAGCCGACTTAGCAAACTTTTATAAAGTCTTTGTGTGCGTGCACTGATCATATTGCGTACACATACTCATTGTACAGTTTTGGTCTATTTTATACTATTGAACTTTACTTAATAAACGAAATATACTTTATTCGGGCATCGAATTAAAAATTCAACTAAACATATGTTTCAAGTTAAAGTTATTATTTTGTAATGGTAATGTTGTCATTAAACTATAAGTTGTTTTTTTTTTTTTTTTTTTTTTTTTTTTTTTTTAATTGTTGTTATTTTACAGCTGCCGTTACTTTAACAATATAAAAATTCAAATGCAGAATAATAAACCTTTAATCGTACAATGTATTGCTGATAATTTCATGCTATTATTAGTCCAAGAAACATCAGAATCTTTCCAACTATAAAGAGGCAAAAATCTCTTCGTATCAATATTTTGTCGTGAATAAATATGAAAATGAAGATAGAGTTGACAAAGAATATAATTACTTTCAAGGTTCCAATATCTAACTCTGGCAATACGGTCGACGAGCATATACTTTAATGCGCGAGAAAGACAAGAATTCCAAGCTTCTTAAAGGAAATAAGAAAAAACGAAAATAAGTATGAGATGTCGAATTCTTTTCTCGCGTTATAAAAGGCTTTCTTCTGCTCTTCGATTACAGTCTGTGCGAATGAAGCGCATAGCACTCCTTTATGTAATGCCGAAACGACGATATTGAAAAGCACTCGTCAAAGAGGGACCAAAAAGCGATATATAAAATCGAGAGTATTACACGCATTCCCGCTACATCTATGTAGCGTAAAATGATGCTTCGATCTGTAAAAGAGAAAGACGAAGAACTGCGTAAAGACTCGAAAGAAAGTAGGTATATCGAGCGAATTCCCACCGGCGCACTTGAACTCTCGCGAAACGAGATAGGAAAGAGAAACGCTGAAAATAAGCTGTCGTCCAGTTTAACGCGTGCAAAAGTGAAATAATTCGTACTGAAAGTGTAAGAAATACACTGAGGTACTATTTACTATCTAATGATTGATTTCAATTAAATAAAATTATAAAATCTATATCACTAATATAGTTATGGTATTGTACAACGTACGTTTTTTGGTGATGTGAGAATCTTTTAATACCGTTGGAATAAGTTACGATAAGTATTATTAAAGATTAAAGATTCTCATCTGTATATAATTATTTATATCACTAACAATGCCAATAATTCATTGAAACAAACTATCGTCGTCATTAATTAAATACCTTATGGTAAAAGATAGTTATGAGCAATTACTAATAAAATTCGTAAAAATTACTCGTAAATATTACTTTAGTATTTTTATTCTTTCGTTATTCAAGCGGTTATTACATTACATTTTGTGCGTCTTTTTAACTAAATAATTACAAACAAAATATTAAAAAATGACTGTAGAATATTTAAGAAAATAACCGTGTAAATACAACAATACGATAATGTGTATTTTCATCATTTGAATCATTTTCGTGATAAATAAGGAACATAAATTTAAAAACGAATTAATAATTTTTGAAAAAATTTATAGAATTTATCGAAAATCATTAAGCGATCTCTTACTGTGAATTTGTCTGGTAATTTTATAAAATATTATCGTTACCTTTGATGTTTTCCATCTACAATTATATCGATCAAAATCTGCAAAACAACAGAGGAAAAAAAAATTATGTATACAACTGATATAATAACAAAATGCAGCAGATACAAAAATATAACAAATCTGCTCTTCCATCTTTAATTTTTGTACATACTTCTTCTTATATATACATATTTCTTCATTATCATTATACGTACCAACTACTTTATATGAAAATAGCAAATAATTTAAAAATAAATATATTTATTCGGATATTATTTTTAATCATTTGTTTAAAGCGCGTGAAAGCATCATAAAATCTGAAAAACATTTACAAATATTTTTTATATATATTTTTAAATTGTTTTTATGCATAATCATACAAAATCATACAAAATGAGGATCTCGAGGTTAATTCTCTATAATAAAATACAGAATGAGTATAAATAATATCTTTAACGGTGCCATTTCCGTAAAAAACACTGTCTTGAAACTTCTTCAACTCTTCCAATGATAACCGTATTCTTCCAAATGATAGAAATAAACTGCTGCATTAACTTTTCGAGCTGTCGAACTATATGAGCATAATTATGGGCAATAAAAATAAATAAATATACAATTATTACTTATTCAATGCTAAACGTTGACACTATCGGGCAGAATGACATTCTGGAGTAAATTTATTGGTAAATTTACTACATACGATACAAAACATTTATAGCGCGAATGAAGATTTTCAAATATATATATTGTATTATTATCATTATTATAATTATTATCATTATTATTATTACTAATCCTACTACTACTATTACTACTGCTACTGCTATCACTATTATTATTATTATTATTATTATTATTATTATTATTATTATTAATATTATTATTATTATCACTATTATTATTATTATTATTATTATTATTATTATTATTATTATTAGTATTAAGTACCTGTTTGAAATGTGAGAGATTTTTAAAATCCTCTCGATTAATGTCAAATATTTATGTAAAACTTTTTATCAATGCGTAAAATTGTATAGTCGTGTCTGTGTATGCTTGTGTACCTTGATGATAAATATGTCGATACATTGATGTAAATAAATTGTAAATAAAAATTAAAATGAGAAAAACCTTTGTAAACGCGAGTGCGATTATAAATAATTATCGTACCATTAAATTAAGTGTTTGTTGCATTAACACGAAGAACATAAAAAAAAAAAAGAAGAAAAAACGAAGTAAAATTGCGCATTGTCATAGTGATTTACGTATATTTTGTGCGAGTATAAGTATATTCTTCTTTTTCTGAAGATCGCAAGAAAGTATTAACGATATTATCTATTAAAAAAAAAAAAAAAAAAAAAAAAAAAAAATCTGACTGTTATACCACTTCAAGTACTTGCTTTCTCATCTAGTCACTAGTCATTAGTCTAGTCTAGCTTTTGCTGAAAATTTTGTGCGAGACAATTTCAAATCACAACAAGCGAATAATAAAAATACCATTGCGATCAAATGTATTATCTAGGCAGCTTTTTAAAAAAATTGATTTTGCATGCGAATGACATTCCAAGTACAGATGAAAAGAAAAGTGATGTAATTGAATAATCATATTTATAAATTTACCTGTTTTCAATATTTTTACTTTCTTTTAATGTGGATATGGATATAGCAAAAGAAAAAAATATATTTGTGTAATTTTATGTTCAGATAGTTTAAGTTTTAAATTTTCAAATCTTTTGATTTTCATGAATGTATAAAAGATTTTAAGTTTTTTGAAATTAATACAACAAAGTTGTAATAACGATTTCTTTATTAAAGTAATTATTTTAATATTTTAATCTCATATATCAATATTTATGTAAATATTTTGTTCATTAGAAAATTAAAAAATTGCTAATAAATTGCAAAATAATGATAATTTTCGAAATATTAAGACAACTTTTTTGTTGAAGAATTTGCTTTTTTAAAGAATACTATGCGAAACATGTTTCATAATTCAAGTGAGCTAGTAAATATCAAACGAGCATAGTAAATCAATATATACACACAAAAAAATGATATTATTTAATTTAATTGTTAAAATGTTTGTATTTAAGCTTATATTTATACAATTCATTCTTATTAGCTTGCGGTAATATGTGAAAAGTTTAGCCATTTTCTCGTTTGCATTACCCCTCTCACACATTGTCTGCCAAAGTAATGAAGAAATTTTGACAAAAATTTCAACATTCTGGAATCAATTATAATATAAAAAGATATCCTATTTCATATTGTAACGCGTCATAATACGGTGTAAGACAAAAACAAAACAAAAAAAAAAAAACAAAAAAAACAAAAGAAAAACTAATATTAATGCTGACTCGATGTCATCTTATAATTATGTATAATTCTGTATTACTCAAGCGTTCACAGTAAATAATTTTAGAAACATAAACAGATACGTAAAAGAATTTTTGTGGGCAATATGAGTCCGATTTAAAGAATAAAATACACCATTTTACATCAAAGAAATAAAAGAAAAAGTAAAATAACAATATTAAAGTATAAAAATATAAACACGTTTCCTCGAAACAAATTATTACTGTGACACAATGTAGTACTAATCAGTCTAATATATGTGTATATATAACCATTCAACCTTCCTGGCACTATTTAATAATTCTATCGGTATTACAAATATTACGTATTGTAGAATTAACTATTAATTTTAACTATTCAGTACATATATCATCACTTTCAGTAAAAAGGCGAGTATAATAACAAATTATACTATTTCATTAAACGTGTTACCAAACACAATTTTTACGTAGTAATAATGTATGTTTTCACTTTTACAATCATAATTTTACATTGAAAAAAAAATGACAATTTTGTTGTCAGTTTATTACATAATTATATATTATATTACATAATTATGTAATAGCAGGTACAAGTGAATGATGCGGTTCTTACACCGTTGACGCTGAGTATTATTTCTCGTGTAAAATATGTATTTAATTCCTTATATATTGCACGATTAAATAAAAGTCGTCATCTTAAATGGTCAATGATAACAGTAAGAATAGTATTAGTGAACTTATTAACTAAACTCGTTTAAAATTGCTCGAATTCATTAAAATTAAAAGAATAAATTCGAAACGAGTTTAGATTATAATGAACTTAACGGTTAGAATTAAGGGTAGTGGTAGCCATAGTTCTTAAACAGAGAGAAAGAGCGATAATAATATTTATAACGAAAATATAATCGAAACGAGCACAGTGTGTAACGCGTTAAAGGAGATGCAAAAATAAGAAGAAATTTAATAGATCCAAAGAGATCTTATGCATCGGATATTAATGTTCATTTATTTGGTTTCTTTACTTTTCATTAGAAATGGAAATAACAATTATTGTATGTCAATGTTTATAAAGCGTATAAACTATATATATATATATATATATATATATATATATATATATAAATATATCATGAATTTTGTTTTCTTTCCGACATTCCGTTTAAACTGTGACTGTGAGTTGTACTATGAGCCTCGCAACGTATGTCGATGCAAAAAAATTAATTCATTTTCTTTATGGGCGATCTATTACACTCTTTTACACCATGAATATATTTCTATATTTGCGCGTATTATATAAGAATAATGGATTTTTCCAATCTTTCGTTATATGTGTATGATTAAAGTGTAATAAGTATAATCATCTTAATTGTCAGCATTCGTCCTTTGTAAATTCGGCAATATTTTCTATGATTTTATACTAATTGCAAAGTGTAGCGAACTGCACTAATAAAAAACGAGATTCAGATACTAAAATATGTATATAGTAATAATATACGAGATTAAGCGAGTGACCATTACACCAACGGAAAATGGCTATAGAAACGAGTGTTGGCACACATATGTACGAAATATACAAAAAAAAATTGAAGAAAAAAATACATAGATTTAAAAAGATATATTATGCTGTTATAAGATTTATTTTTTCCAATAATATGTCCTTAATTGTGTAGTAAGTAGAAGAAGAAATTCTGATCATAATTATTCTAATACGATTGAAAATTATTATGACAATTAAGTTAAAGTAAAAGAATAAACATGAATATCAGTAAAAAAAATTAATTTTTTTCCATCAATATTTAATTCAAATTTCAATCAATAACCATTTTAATTATAATGTATAGATTACTAAACTATAAACTATTTTCTGAATTTTAATTAAATGTTTGTTACAAAGATGAAATAACAAAATAATTAAATTTATAACTTTGCTAAATAAATTGTTCATAATAAAATAGGCTTGAATTAGATGCATTTGTGTGCATTTACAAATGACAATTAGAAAAATTAAAATATTAAATATGAAATTCCTTTATTTTTATCATTTCTTGTATTATTAAAAGTAAAACCAAAATAAATAATATATTTCTTAAGTAAAAATCTAAATATTTAACATAGTTTATCAAAAGTGAATAAATTTCTGAGAATAAGATTTATATATATATATATATATATATATATATATATCATTGGCTAACTTTTTAAAAATAAAATTACGTTATATTAACTTTGAAGATTAATGTCCGAGTGAAAAGATTTTAAAAGAAAAAGTTTTAACATTTTTAGTTTTATTGATTTATTGAAGTTTTATTGAACAACCAATTCGCATGCTTAATACGATCCGAACATTTAGTTAACTAATTTTTGATAATTCATAATCAACACGAACAAACAGAATAAAACACTCTACAAGTTGTATCGATAATTAATAAACAACTTCAAAATTTACAATTATTTTGAGAATAATAATGTGAATAATAATAATATTTTTTATTTTTTTATTAACAACAACAACGACGACGACGACGACGACGACAACGACAGCAGTATGGAATAATAATAATAAGTTAAATTAAAATCAATGTTTTGAAGTAGAAAAATCGTTAGATTTTTTTCTTAAATATTTTCCTATTCTCTTTATGTTATACATTAACATTATCATAAGGATAAATGAAATTTTTTTGTTTTTTAATTTTTCATGTATGAAAAATTAGCAAATCTTGTCAAATATTAATTTACCTTTTTCATATAAAACGAAACCTTCGTAGATTCAATATGGTCTAATTTATAATATAAACAATCACCCTTTAATATATTGATATTTTTAACGTTTACTCGTCGTATTATGGCTTTCTATTAAAAACAAAAAAAAAAAAAAAGAACAAGAGGAAAAAACATTTGTCTCACAATAAGTATTAGCAACTTTACTGCACTTAGCGGTCACCTACAACGATATTCAAAATAGTAACGGCGTAACTTTAAATTCAAAAGCCACGCACACACGCATAAAAGTATACGTGTGCGGGCCAGTGTCAGCGCGTGAGCATATACATATATGCTTGCGTGCCATCGGCTTACAATCGTAATACTTAGAACGATATGGTCCTTCAAAAGGTAAACAATCTGTCAGAAACCGGCGACTTAAATGCTAAAAATGGAGAATGAAATAGAAAACGAGGATAATTTATCTGTGGTGCAGTACATAAATGATTATCTGGATTGTGTTGAAAATTTACCGAACGATTTACAACGGCAATTATCACGGATACTGGATCTCGATGTCACAAGTCAAAGTAAGAAAATAATTAGTTGCACGACATTTACGAAGACGTGTTGTTGGATATAATCGATCGTTTCTCTCATTCTAATTGAAACATCATTTTTACGGTGAAATATTCTTCATAAAATTACTTTAAATTATCGTACAAGTCAATTATATAATATTAATATTTTAGCTCTCTATATTGAATTCTATCTTATTCGAATTCATTAATTCTGATCAAAACATTATCTTTTCATTGTTAATGTTAATATAATTATTCACTACATCTATATCATTCATTTATAATCCTTAATAGAGAAAAATGTAGATAATATATAAAAAAAATTTTTTATACTTTTTACCCAACTTACTGTTCATAAGTATTAAATATTTATTATTTTATAACATACAATATGAATGTACATATGGATTTTAATATTACACAGACTATTTCCGTGAATTTGAGAAGCATGAAAAGGTTGTTGCAAAAATTAATGTCGACACAACAACGAGAAAACAAGCTCTCATACAAATGCACAAATCACTAATATCAATGCAAAATATTGGTGATGAGAAATTGCAAATAATGCAAGTAATTTTAAATCTTATAGAGAAAAAAGTGGAACAATTGAATGTAAAACGAAGGAATTTAAGTACGTATTTACTCAATAAATTCTTATGCATATTATTAATAGCAATAATTTTGTTTTAACAGATTTGGGCGAGCAGGAAAATAACGAACCTCTTAATAAGTCAAATAATAACGTGGGTTCTTTGAACGTGGAGAAGAACGTTAATAATACAAAGTTGAATTTGCGTGGCAGAAGATCAAAATTGAATACGTCTTTAAAATCATCGGATGGAGCGGATACAAGTATTTTGTCGGAAAATCAATTGTTAAACATTTCAAGTTCGTCGAATGGAGCCCAGAAGAAATTGAATACATCGAATAGTAGTAAAAAGAGCAAAGGAAAGTCTTTCGCGAGTCAGCAAAATCAAAATATAGAGGATAATCAATCACTGACCGAAGATGATGCCGACGAACCGTTATACTGTCTGTGCAAGCAAATTTCATTTGGAAAAATGATTATGTGCGATAATGACTTGTGCTCGGTCGAATGGTTTCATTTTAAATGCGTTATGCTTACCAAAAAACCAAAAGGTAAATGGTATTGTCCCGAATGCAGAGGACATCGACCAAATATTATGAAGTCAAAAATTGAGCCTCGGTGACACAGCGCAGTTGCTATTATCAATAAAAACTTTACACTTGATAACATTGTACAAAAAGCATTGTAAATCGCGTCGCTACATAATAATTTAAAAGGTACTCGTCTTTTTAATTTTAATTCGAATAGTTATCTTAAATACATTTTAGCTCAATAAAAAATGTTTAAACACATTTCACACAGTGTATATATAGATATAGATATATATGTATGTGTATGTATGTATATATATATATATATATGTGTGTGTGTGTGTGTGTGTGTGTGTGTGTGTGCGCGCGTGCATGTGCGTATGCGCGCGCGCGCGTGTATTTTATTTTCGTTATTTCTTTGTACATAAAATTTAAATAAAATGTGACCATTACAATTGGCCAACGGAACGTAATTATTCCACAACGATTTTTTATTGTAGTAATATTGTGCAAAACAAAAACATTGAAATAGGGTCTGTCAGCGCCACAGGTGAATCAACATTCAGGCAAGTATCATGAATTCGTAAAGGTTATATTTACGAAGCTTTTACCACCATTATTATAGACATTATAATCAGCCGTCGGTACAATATCCTCATGAAAAACAATGGTAATCGCATAATAAGGCGCGTTACAAATTTCTTACCCAACTATCGTAAGTGACAGTTTTAGTAATAAAAATTGTGAAGGAATGATGGGAAGAACGAGTTAAACAAGTTTGATTTGGAGCAGAGGAAGCGTAATAATCTCGCGCTTGCATGGATAGGGAATTGATGATTAGGACGCTCGTCGGGCGAATTGGAGAAGCTCGTCGCGGCGTTGGCGTTGGCGGTGGCGGTAGCGGTGGCGGTGGCGGTGGCGGTGGCGGTGGCCATGCGAAATCGATGGCTTTGCGAACGCGCACGAGGCCGGTCGTGGGTGTGGTGGGGCGAGATGGAAAAGGAAAGTTGCGGCCAAGCGGAAGGAACGGGAGCGAGAGACCGTTACTGGTTTGGCATTGGTGGACGAGCGAGCGAGGGAGAGAGCGATAGTTTGGATAGTTTGGATCGAGCGCTCGGCTCTCGGTGAGACGACGCGCTTGAAAATTCGTTTGTGTGCACCTCTGCCGCGTATGTCAACGTCGTTGGCTTCCTGAAAGAGCGCGTCCGGGGCGATCTGACGGCGCGCCTCTGTGGAAAGATGCGATTACGGAGCGTGAGAGGCTAGGAGGACAGCTTGTCGACGAGGTGAGATTGAGTTGAAGCGTGGGATCGGCAGTAGACGAAGGTCTAGGCGGGAATCCGCCGCGAACCGCCAAAATCTCTTAGGACCCGACGCCATCTTGATCGTTTTTGTTGACAAATTCACATTCTGTCTCTCGCGTATACTTTTTAAATGAAGCCCACAACTTGTGGGCTGGATTTATAATGTCGACGGACCGTCGCATGTTATGCGTGGATTTGTTATTTAAATAATTGGCCTGCTTGTGCCTTATTCGACATTCGAGCACAGCTGTATAAACATTTCGTACATAAATGTATAAAACAGTTATGGCTTGGCTTTAGAATGCACTTGCACCACTGCTTGTGTATTTTATTTGTGTGACTCTTTGTTATAGATCAAGGCGTAAATATTTGAAAGATCCAACATGTTTTACGCTCACTTTGTGTTGGCCAAGAAGGGCCCATTGGCCCGGATTTGGTTGGCTGCCCATTGGGATAAGAAGTTAACCAAAGCCCATGTTTTTGAAACCAACATCGAGAAGTCTGTGGATGGTATTTTGCAGCCCAAGGTAAGCATTGCTTTATTCGTTAGTCTCTTTAGTACTTTTATGTTATGAACATAGAAAATACCGTAGATTGGTTCATAATTAGTCGTGCGACGAGGAGGCTAATTAGTTAGCTACGGATTTCCAGCTTCACGCATATTTAATTGGTGATCGATTTGGAGCCAACTATATTGCAAATCTAAAGTTCATTTATTACGTTTCATAATTCAATTATTCCTTGACTTTATAAAAACTTTATCGCTACAAATATGCAAATTTTGCTTCTGTTAACTATTGCCCGCGAATTAACAATATTTTCTGAATTATCAACGATATGTTAATTTTAAAAATTACAAACTTATATATTTAACCTTTATGAAACATTTTATTTTTCAGGTCAAAATGGCATTACGTACATCGGGTCACTTGTTGCTGGGAGTCGTTCGTATTTACTCTCGCAAGGCAAAATACTTGTTGGCAGACTGTAATGAGGCATTTGTTAAGATCAAAATGGCCTTTAGGCCGGGCATGGTAGATTTGCCGGAAGAACATCGAGAGGCAGAGGTTAACGCTATCACATTACCGGAAGTTTTTCACGACTTTGACACGGCTATGCCTGAATTAAAGTAAGCTCTCATTACTCTTATTGAAAGTACCAAAATTTGCAACTTTTTTATGACTTATCGACCATAGTTTGACTTTGTACAGGGATGTTGACATCGAGGCCCAGTTCAGTTTAAATCAATCTAGAGCTGAGGAAATTACAATGAGGGAAGATTATGGAAGCTTATCCCTGGTTACTCACGATCAAGGCTTCGGGGACATGAGCTTTGATGTGGAGCCACCCGAACTATTACGACATACCTCAAACATAGATGCCCCTTTAGATCAAGTACGTATAGAATATTTGTGATTAAACACTTTTTTTAATTTATCGTTTATTTATTTCAAATTCCTGTTTTTTTTTTGTTTTTTGTTTGTTTGTTTTTTTTGTTTTATAGAGACATATGTTGTTTACCGACGATGGCGCTGGAATAGAGGCTGCGTTAGAACAACAAGAAAAAGAAGCGGTTGCCGGTACATCAACAGCAGCGCAGCCAATGGACATTGATACTCCAATTAGGGACGATGGTTTTGGTGGACATTTGGGACAAGATATGATATGTAAGTAATTTTTATAACATGAACACGTACCACCTTCGCTGTACGTATTATTACTCATTATAAAAATAAACGTAGCTATTATTTTTATTCAAAATATTTTATACGAAAGATCTAAAAAAAAAAAAAAAAAAAAAAAAAAAAAAAAAAAAAAAATAATAATAATGATAATAAAATCATATACGTTATGTATTTTCTTGCTTATGAAATCGTGCAAAATGGGTAGTAAAAAAACTGATGATGTTGTTATAGCGGGAGGCTTATTCGAAGGAGGCTTATTCGATGAAGCCCCTATGGGAGAGGTTCCTGTACCAGATGTTAGCTCGATAGGTGAACAACAAGAACCAAATGCAGCTGCAGTAGCTCCATCTGTTCATGACGATTCGGATGAAGATATGGGTGATCATTTTGGTGGTCCACCATCCCCAATTGGCGGTATGAGGTACATAATAACGTGGATAAATAAATATGTGATTAATTGTCATTATAATCCATAAACTTTTTTTACCATTTACAATATTAATATGTACAGAAACAAATGTTTACGTTTACATACACGTATGTATTATTTTTACAGTAGTGACGGTTCAAGACCCCCCACACCAGCAACTACAATTGACACCGCTGGTGGTAGAATAAGCGTAGCGAGTCGGCGCTTTACCCCAGCTCCACAAATCGCGGATGATCATGCCATGGATGGTCACGAGGAACAACCTGTGTTACAAGAGCAGACGACTTTGTTACACGACGAAGAAGAAAGCTTCGCTTTAGCACCAGTTGATGCCTCAGCCCTTAAAGGTTTCTACAAAATATATTTATCGTCATTTAACATTACACATTTATGCTCACGAATGTTTAATATTTACATAAGATATTATAGACGTAAAACGAGTAATCAATTTGAGATCAATAAAAATGTATTTATAGCTTAGTTTTAAAGATTTAGTAAATAATGCAGTAATAAATATTTGATAGGCTTCACAAAAGCGAAACGTAAGAGAAAGCTAATTGTGGATGAAGTTAAGAATATTTCTGGAGAAGAAATGAAAGCGCAATTATCAGATACTAGTGATATTGTAACTACATTGGATTTGGCACCGCCAACCAAGAGACTAATGCACTGGAAGGAAACTGGAGGAGTGGAGAAACTCTTTGCTCTTCCTGCCAGGCCAATACCAGCTCGAGTTTTGTTCAAGGTAAAAATCTTGATGACCACTATTGTTCTTGATTTTCGAAATAACGCGCAACATTAATAAACTTTTATTTTTAGAATTATCAACGCCACTTAACCAGCAAAACTTACGATCATGATGACTTTGGAAGATTAGATGGTGGAGGCGATGATGTGATGCCTTTGGAGCAGATGAGGGACGAGCCTAAAGAGCCAGAACCAGTGTTCGAACAAAGTGGCATTCAAACGAGGAGATCCACGAGGAAGCGAAAGGCACCCGCCGACGAGGAGGTAAGGATTTTCGAAACTTTGTTTGGAGCATCATCCGCACAATCAATATTATATTATAAGATATTCATTTATATTTCTAATTTGTAAATTTAATTTACAACGAAACGACGAATATATCTTTCAAATGAAAAGACACGCATGTGAAATGAATTTTATTTAATTCAGCCACCATCACCACCACCGGCGGACATCACGCACCCGTCGACAGTGTCCGAGCCGGTAGAACAGCCGAGTATGCAAGCTGTTCAGGAATTATCCTCGGAACCATCGCCGGTGCACCAGCCGGAGGTATCCCTACCCCAAGAACCCGCAGTACCTGACATAAGCAGCATCATGTCAGCCGTCGATCAATCTGACATGATTGGCGCCGGTGCGTCCTCCGAGCATCCACTGCTAGGCATGGAGATGCCGCAGATCCCGCCTAACGAGGTTAGCTCACTGCTCGGTTCGACCGAGGAGCACGTGGACGAGCAGCAGCATCACGACGACGCACTGCCACCCTCCGACTTACCTCAGATGGAAAATATGGGCTACGATCAGGTAACTACTACCGCGTGCGGCTATTGTTTCAAATTCTCGAAACATTGTAAAGTAACATAATAGATATTCCTGCCGCGACTACTTTTATAAAATTAAATTACGTATTAAACGTACGCTTGTCGAGCTCTTTTATTTTCACGTGTAATCGTAATTGCACGATAATACTTAGTAACTAGACTTTGTAGACGATTTCGTGCGATTGATAATTTGAAAGTTACGGTACTAGGGCGCGCATGCGCAATTGTTCAGTGCACACAAAAGAAGAAATTATAATACTACCAAACTTTTCTAAGCGACATTTTAATAATCGTTTTATCGTGTGAGACGAATAATAGAACATTCAGCGGATATTGAAATAAAGTATAGTTTCATTCTCTTGTTTATTGCATACATACATACATACAATATTGTTAGAGAAATTTTGGCATATAACTAAATGACGATTTTTTTTATTTTTTTATTTTTTTATTTATCCTTTATATCCATAATACAATTACATGATACAATAATGTATCGAAGAATATGGTAAGAGTAATGGCTTGAGTAATTACTAAAAGGAAAATTTTCTTTTCTAGAATGCACCACCAGTGTCGTACATGGGTTACGATGATCAACACCCACCGGCTCATACTCCAGGAGCTATTTCGGAAAGAGGACCAGCCACACCGTGGAACCACGAAGATTATGAGTTCCCGCCTTCAGTTGGACCGGTACGTTAAAGAATCTTATTAATTTAATTAATGCCAATCATTAATATTGTACTCGATGACATGTAATTTATCGACTAAATTTACAGCAAGAAGAACAACAAATGGATGAAACGTATGAGCAGTTCGAGGAGCGCGTATTGAACAAGCGCGCGGCACATATGTATCAAGTTATCAAAAATAAATTGGACACGAGAGATAATTTAACTCTATCAGAAATGACCCACAAAAGCTCTCGTAAACAGGTATGTGCGGACCGACAGGCATTCGTCAATCAACAATTACGCTAGTTAATGCTTAATAATTAATACTGTTATAACAATGTATTTGAATTCTATCTGCTTTCCTTGCAGGCGGCGCAGAAATTCTATACTTTGTTGGTTCTGAAGAAGTTTCAAGTTTTGGAAATTAATCAAGAATGCTCGTACGTTGACATTTACGTTACCAAAGGCCCAAAGTTCGACAATCCGGCGCTTTAAACGCACTCATTTTTCTTTCACGAATTTATTACTTTCTATGCAGATGATAGTTACACATTGGCATGGTTTCCTTTTCCTTTCCTTTTTACAAATAAGCGCCAATTACGTAACTTATGAGACCACGAGTATTTATTTCCCACTAATAAAAGACCTCGGTAAATATGCATATATTATAAAAAAAATATTTAAGATTAAGGAAGAGTATATTTCTACACAAACTTTGTTAGACGCTAAAAGATAAGATGATGATTCAATCGTTTGAAGTTTTATTCGATATTCGATTTCATGAGACACTTTTTACAGAATTACACATTCAAGTTTTTCTTATAGATTTCAAAACATAATAATGAGAATTAAAAACGAATGCATATCTTTTTGTATTTCATTACTAAAAAATTAATCTGTTAAAACGTATTACGTGCGAATGAGTTTTAACAAATACGACGATTTGGTTCCATTGTGCCCGATTAACTCGTCGATTACAATGGGCCCGATATATTTATAAAGATGTTATTGTTGAAACTCAAAATAAATAAAAACTTGAGTATAAGGAGAGAGTAAGGTAAAAAAAAAAAATAAATTAATACTTTTAACTAATTTATAAAAACAAATTTGCAGAGTTCATTCTTAATTATGATGTATTAAGGTTACTTTTCAATAATTGTACATTTTCATATTTATAAATAAAACAACGTTGCTAAAATTTACAACAGGTAAAGTATTTGATTAAAAAAAAAAAAAAAAAAAAAAAAAAAAAAAAAAACCTCTTTGCAATTGATAAACCAAAATAGATAAAATTAAATAAATGAAATCTCTTTGAGAATAATTTGATTATGTAATTAAGAGCTTGCGATTGTTTAATCAGGATTTATTTATTTATTTATTTATTTTTTTTTTTTTTTTTTTTTTCTTTCGATATGTGCTTTATACAATCATTATGAAACTTGATATCATTATTGAAAAGTATCGAAATAATAATGAGACCGCTAAGCGTAAAAACATTAGAAATCTTATTTAAAAGAAAAAAAGCAGAAGAAAAATTAGGTATTATAAATTTGACTACACCATTATCTTTAAAATATTTAAAATACAATGTTTTACGAATGATCAACGAGAACTCATTTATAAACTCGGTGATTATTGTTCTGTCAAGGCTTAATCCGATTTTTTTTTTTTTTTTTTTTTTTTTTTTTTTTTTACTTTTATTTATACTCGTACTTTATTATAAAAAGACTTATTAAAAATTGTCCATTTTCATTGTAAGCATGTATTTTGTGCGTGAGAATTATGGATTCTATTTATTGGAGTCCAGTAACAGATCAAATAGGCAGAATTTTCTATTCTGTGTTATATCAAACGTGTGACATGAGAGACGTATGTTACGTTCTTAGAAATATAATTTAATTGGATGATCTATACTCTTGTTGTAGAATTGTCGAAAGAAGCGAATGATGTAATATATTATTATGTTGAAGGAAGCGTGACAAAGTATCTCAATGACAAATTTAAGCGACGACCTTTTTATTTTAGACTCAATCGACAAAAAAGAAATGATAATTGCGATGGGATTACTAGGAATATTATTTGATTTTTTTTTTTTTTTTTTTTAACATTATTTTGACGTTCGATTTGAATTATTACACCGTAACTTTATAAATTCCGAATTAAAATTTAATTATACTGTTTGTAGATAAGAATATAAAATAAACAAATTAATAATTCAATTAGTAATGAGAGAAAGCTTTATTTATAATGTTTCAAACATCATTAGTGCAAATACATTTTGTAAAAAATATTTGTCCGTTGTATTACATTAATGATCATTGGCTTAATAATGATAATATTTATATTGGTTTTGTAATAGTCGGAAAATTTCATCAAAATTATTGACTATTCAAAATCTTTTAATGAGATTGAAGTTGAGTAACTGCATATTTTTATACTATAAAAAAATAATTCGTAAAAACAGTCTGAACGATATAATAATAATAATAATAATAATAATAATAGTAATATTATGAGTGATAATCATTCGATACATATAAATTAATTTCATCCTTCGAGTTGGCCGCATTCCATAGCATTTTGATACGACGAGTCTTTGCCAGATTTGACTGAGTCCAGCTTGATCATGTCATCGATTCTTAAGATTGTGATGGCAGCTTCGGTAGCGAATTTGAGGGATTTAATTTTAGAGATAGCTGGTTCCAAAACTCCCGCCTTCTTGTTATCTCTAATTGTGCCTTCAATTAGATCGAGTCCAACCCTAATAATCATATTAAAAATTCAAACAAGAGACACACGGCTTTGCTATTTAGTAGTACATAACAATAACTAAATATCTTTCTAACTATATTTTCTCATTGATTTCAAAATGCACTTGGATTTTTTTTTTGTCCTCCATTTATTATAATTACGATTTTCTATATTGTCAATTTTTTTTTTATAACTTTTGTAAATTAATATTAAAATTTTAATAATAAAATCTATCATTGTGATGGTATAAAAAATAACAACAAACCATTTTAAGTTGGCGTGATCTACGACAACTTGACTGGAATTGTGATAAGCTCTTAGCTTGGCTACGAGATCCGTGGCGTCCTGCGCCGCATTAACAGCCAAAGTCTTGGGGATGACCAAAAGTGATTTTGCATACTCGGCTATTGCAAGCTGTTCCCGGGAGCTCTAAAATAGTAAAAACAATACTTTCAATATAGATTGTCGACGAGTATGATATATCATGTGTAAGCTGCTGCTGCTGCAGCTGCTGCTGCTGCTTATCGAATGAGACACAAACAAAATTTTGTTCAAATATTAAGAAACATCGCTACCGGCATCATATATATTTAATCTTCCGAGTACAAATAATATTATCAGCGTTTATAATTTCATCGGAATTTGAAGGAGAAAAAAAGAAGAAGAAGAAGAAAAAAAAAAAAAAAAAACTAAAGGCTCGCATTATTTTATTTGTTATTTGAAAGCAAACTCTTTGGCACACTATAATACAAAACTCCATGATAAATGCTAAAATTGCCGCGTCTTCATTCTCAAACTAGAATCCCCAACCCATTCGCTTGATCATTCATCGTACACATAGACTTAATAATTATTATTATTACCACTGTAGTAGCAAAATTTTCCAAATAAATGGAGAGAGCCGCTTCGACACAGCCGCCTCCAGCAACGACGCGTTTACTTTCGAGGACTCGCTTCACAGCACATAATGCGTCATGTATAGAACGTTCCATTTCGTCACAATAATAATCGTTCGGACCACGTAAAATAATGGAACTTGCCGTCCTGGACTTTGGTCTGTTGGTATTTTTCAAACAAAGAAATAAAATCATTAGATCCTATAGATGCTTATAAATGCTATAAATGCTATAAATTAATTGTTCTAAATTTACATAAATTTTTAGTTTCTATTAGATGATAGCATTTGGTGACATGAAATACGTAAATAAACAATGTAATATTTAGTAAGGGCTTGATCGAATAATGGCAAATTGTTAAGGACGCCATGTATAATAAGAATAACCAATCTATCGTTTGGTAAAACGCACCCTTTAATAACGATGAGCTCATCGTCGCAGAATGTTTCTATAGACACTTCGGCAGCTTCGCCTAGGAAACTGGCCTGGAAGCTCTCTTCACCCTCCATATTAGTAAGAGACGTCAAGAATTGTGCACCGGTAGCTTTAGCGATACGTTTTAAGTCCACTTTTTTACATCTGCGCACAGCCATTGCACCAGCATCCACAAAGTACTGTAAGTAAGGCAGATTTTGAAGCTTTTACCAATTGAGAAGGAATATGTTTTTCTTTAGCTTTTATTATTTATCGTGCTTCTTATTAATGAGCTCGATGATTATTTTTTTATTTTTATTTTAAGTGGACTACAACCCCACTAGACTACATCATTCTATTAAATGCATAAAACAATTTTTTTATTCAATGTCCAAATTATAAATGATGTTTAATGTGGTATTATCGAGCGATAATTGCACATAAATTTAATTCACTGTAGTTCTATTAATTAATTTGATTTATAAATTATTTGTAATTCTCACTCACCTTAAGACACAGATCATCGATACCGCCGGTGCAGAGTATAACGTTAGCACCGGAGGCTAAAATTCTTTGTACATTTTCTTTTGTTATGTCCAACTCGCGCTGACGAATACCATCCAGTTTCTCCGGGTCATTAATAAGTACTTCTATACCCAGCATCAATTTAGTTTTCATCAGTGAAAAATCTAAACACGCCACTTTGGCATTTACGATCTTCTTAACCATTGCTTGCGAAGCTACTGTGCAGTTTAGAGCGTAGCCTGAAATGATGACGGAATCCCGTACACTTTTACCGTGAGCTTTCAGCACGTTAACAGCTTTTATTGGATATATAAATCCGCCTTTGCCATCGCTCACTTTAACTGCATTCGCAGCCTCTACGACAATGTTGCCGAAAAAGTCAGAATCACTGAGCAATTATAGTGGTAAGAAAGATATTTAAAATTTATATTTCATTTAATGCCATTTAAATGAGATACTTAATAATTATCTATATATTCGCATGCACATTTCATATAATTTTATTTTTATTTAAAAATCTTAACTGTTAATAGAATAAATTTGAATAATTATTACAACTAATTAAAGATAAATTAATGTTTGAAAATAAGTAATTGAAGTAATGGAAGGAACGTGGTATTTTACAAATGAATTCTACATGATTTATATATATATATATATATTATATATATATATATATATATATATATATATATATATATATATAATATATATATATATATATAAATCATGTAGAATTCATTTGTAAAAGAGACATTTGGACGTTAAGATTATAATTTTAAATAGAAAAGGATACGCATTTATAATTTTACTGGACATTGCAGTTTTAGCAACATTTATTAAACAATCTTTGCCAAGTTCTTCAACGCTCACTGTTAAATGCTCTTGTATATACTTACAGACCTCCCTGAAAATTTTAAATAATATATTTGAATATTTATCGTTAAGAATTTTTTGGTGAAATGTCAAACTCTTGTATTATTTTTACATACTTGCAAGCTAATCTATAACCACTGATCACCGAAGTTGGATGAATCTTATTTTTAACAAGTTCATCCGCATTTTTAAGTAATTCTGCTGCCACAATCACCTAAACAATTAATATAACAAAGCATAAGGAATATATCAAATTTCAATTTAATACAGCCGACTTACAACCGAGGTAGTACCGTCTCCAACTTCCTCATCCTGCAATTGTGCCAGTTCCACGAGAACTCTCGAAGCTGGATGTTCTACCTCTAGAAGTCGCAGAATCGTCGCTCCATCATTTGTAATTGTAACGTCCTACAAACATTAAAATTATCAAACTAAACATTTAATCGAGATAACTTTCATTTCCAAAACTTAATGTCACTTACGCCAATATCGTCGACAAGCATCTTGTCAAGACCAACTGGTCCAAGAGAACTTTTAATTATATTGGCGATAGCTAATGCAGCCATTACTGAAATACAACAACAATTAATATTAACAAAATATTCATAACAATACCAAGTCCGTAAATACCGTATTAACTTTATAATTTTAATAGTAAAAAATTGGCAATTTTTAAGAGATGTCATTACACGTTATAAATAGGCGAAATCGACCAATTGAATGAGGAGCACACGAGGCCAAGAAAATAAACGAAATAGTTTCCCTAATGCTATAGGTAGAAGCTCGAATTTAAGCAAATAGATTGTAAATAAGGAGGAAATAACTTATAAGGAATTTTAAACCGGAGGCCGAAATTAAGGTTAGAAAAGCATACCATTTTGTGAACGAACGGGAGCGCCGGATTGACGCGTTCCGGTAATAGCTAAAGCACTTGCTACTGTCGACATTTCTTCGTTATTTTATCGTATTCACTGCAATTAATAAAAGTCGTTGAAACGTAGTGAAGCAACTGAAGTGTTGTTAACGTTAGAATAGCCGCGTGCTCCTCTAAGCCGAATAAATAACAATGGAGGAATTCCCTTTCGTTCGTGACCGCAGTCGCTGCGATTCTATTGGTTTAAAAGAGAAGTCGCAACTTCTCGATTGGATAAGATTATTAAGCTTATATGTGCCGGATTCACTTTGCCCGGTTATGAAAGATTCATCATTTATCAAACATTTAACGCGCGTGTTAATATGTTCTCATTATAATGAACGTTTTTCAGGCAGAGGGGCTTCAATGAAATCTCAAAAAAGCTATTATTTCTTTGAATATTCCGATCGACATGATGAAATTGGAAAACGCTTGCGTGCTGGGCTTATTATGGCCTTATTTGGGCAATGATCCAATGTATTAATAATGAGGCTGGGACTGGGATTAATTTAATGAATTCTTATGGCAAGGTTTACGGATATACTGATTCAATACAAACACATAAGACTAATATAGTATATTTACAAATTAATTTTGTAATAAACAATAGTCTGATAAACAACAATTGTAATCAAATATACCATCTTATTACAGTTTACACAGATATGTTAAATTAATAGAGACTTATTTTAATCGATGCGAGTATTCGATTTAACTATTTTTATCTACTTCATTGAATTATTTTACAATTTTTCTGCTCTACTCTCATTTTTCCTATCATTTTCTAATAGTATCGATTTCTCTTTGCCAATTAACTTTTCATTTTTTTCCTCTTTCTCTAAGATAAAAATGAAAAAATATTCCAAAATATCATCTGAAACAGAATAAAATACTTTAGTAATTTATAAATAAATAAATAAATAAATAAATTAGATTCTCGTTTAATTTAATTAACATAAATGAATGATAGTTTTTAAAAGAATAGAGCTAAATATTAATTATATAAAAGTTTAAAATTTTGTATAGAGTAATACGAATAGTAAATAGCTTTTTTTATTGTTCTTATTATCAACATTACGATCTAATTTAATAATACTATATTTTAAAGTGACGATCTATAAGTAATAACTTTTATCCTATAGGACAAAGTTTCATAACTTATTATGTAATACAATCTAATTTCATTTCCATAATACATTCGTACATTTCTACAATTTAATATGAAGCTTGTAATCTGTAAAATAATACAAAGTTGTATAACTTCATAATTTGAATATTGAAAATTCCTTCAAAATAAAACTGCGTCCGTTCTTACATCGAATGTATAAAATAATTTTAAACTAATATCTGCTTATCTGCTATCTAAAATATTGAAAATATATACACACCTACAAGCTTTTTCTCTAAATAGTACTCTTTTGCCAAATACTCCGAGTTATATATTATTGGATCTTTGCTGTGTTTATCAATCATTTGTATAGCTTGGCGCAAACTTATTTTACCCTTTACTACTTCCTGTGATTCATAAAATCCGAATTCAGACAACTCAGGTCTCAATCTTTCTTTTGGCAAATTTCTTTCTGGATCCTCACTTCTATTATTATCTGGTACCTAGAAATCAATACAAATAGATATATTGACTTTTGCATTTACAACAATTATTATAAAATAAGTATTTAACTTGATTTAATTTGTTATAAGTGTGAAAAATTATTTACCGAATTATCATAGGATTTCACATATATTTTTTTAAGATTGTTGTCTAGTTCAATATTTTTTGTTTGCGAAGTTACTTTATAATCTGGTTCCACTAAAAAACGATATATAAATTTAATCATGAACGTATAAACAATTAATTCATTTAAATAAAAAGAATTTAGATAAAACTAACATTCATTTACTAAGTTAATTTGTGTTTGTTTCATTTTATAAGATGGTGCTACTTTGGGTTTATCTTTTGCAATTTCCCTATGAGCTCGATTCTCGATATTATAATTTTTAAATGGTCGCGAAAGTCTTCTAGACACATTGCCCATTTTATTAATAATTCTTTTTAATTACGTTAAAACTTTCTTAAGTCTATAATAAAATATGCACGCCGCATAATAATCTAACCAAACAAAGTACAAATAATCCTAAACTTTATTTGTCCATTGTCGAATTTCATATAATGATGAAAAGGAATTATTAAGTTCTTTTCAATAATAATATTTTATACACTTCTTTGAGATTGTTTGTTTCTCCTTTAGAAACCTAAGATGATGAAAATTTAAGGTTATATTAAAAAATGTTGAATTTATCTGCTGCCGTATTCCCCCTACACGGAACGCGACGGCACACACAGGCTAGAAACCTACCCGCTTGAACCAACACGCGCAAACCTTACACATGCGTATGGATATGAAGGATGGGTAAAAGAGTAGAGAAAAATAGGTAATAAATACTTAGGTTTAGTACTATTTCGGTATCATGAGAGGTCACTTTGAATACAAAAAAGGCGCCAAATTTTGATTCACAGGGGGGATTACAAATTTCTGCGGTTACTCCAATAATTCTTATCATTATTATAATGTAATAATACATCTAACTAAAACATTTCAATTTAATTCCTTCCTTATTTTGGATAAACAATTCTTAATTATTAATATTTATTAGGCAACTTTGCACTATATTTTATTCAAAAGTATAATATTGGACATCGATATTATTTTAAATTTAATTTTTATATACTCATAACTTTCATATATTCATTTTCATTAATGCACTTATCTAATTACAGGCTAGTAATATAAAGTGAGAAAATATATTATTATAATTAATAGATACTTTGCCAATGCAATCTCGAACACACACACGCGCGCGCGCGCGCGCGCACACGCACGCACACACACACACATATATATATATATATATGTGTATATATATATATATATATATATATATATATATATATATATATATATATATATATATATATATG